TATCTCATAAACGATCAGGATTCAGGAACAAAGCTCATATGGCTTAGCTCAACACAAAAGTAATTTTCTTGACAGAAGATACAAGAAATGAAAATGAATCAATTTAAGGCTTCTGCTTCACAACCGGAACACTCTCTCCTTCAAATATTTTTTTTTTAAACTTTATACAAATTTTATTTATTTAAATAAAAGTTTTATATTTATTAACAATCAATCATAGTAAACTTTCTTCTTTTCTAAACAGATTTATACCAGGATTCATCATTTGTTTGTTTTTATAAATAGATATTGTTTCAAAACGTCAGATTTTCACACAGGAATTTGGAGCAGACCAATCTGCCACACTTAGGCCAAGACAATTATCTCATCTCAATTAACTTGGTGCAAATATCATGTTTGTCTTAATTTTCTCCAAATGTATGTAAATAACGATGTAATACGGCAAGCTAATAGAGTTATAATTAGACGATAACATGCTCATTCACAACTCAATATTTTATTTACATTATCTTAGTTGAAAACGTAGACAGAGTTCATATATCTTTGCTAGATTAAACAGTCTGATCTCAAAACATCGTTAGTTTTATCAACCAATTCATACAAAACACAAATCACATGAGTGTTGATTAAGAAAATAACAATGTTAGAAGTAAAAAGAAGTCATAAGTACTCATCAAAACCCATCCAATCTCAGCATAACAACACAAAGTATTCATCACAGCTACAGCTCGAACCTGAAAATAAGTATGTTAATATGGGGAATGAGACGTTGGAGCTTCATAACATACATGCTCTCATATATTCTGTAACTATGACTAACTATAGAACTCTATATTTGAATACTTTCAAATGTAATTACGAATCATTCATAATAATAACATTTAAAGTTCATAGTTTTCTTTTCTCATAGTTCTTTAGGTGTCTTTTGTTTCATATATGATATGTCAGCAAAAATATCTATTATAAAAAAATATTAGCTATTTGAATTCTCAAGGCCTCACCAATATATCTATCCGGTATTTCTTCTACAAGGAATCCCAATTAGCAAACATTAAAGCGATCTCCGAGCAAATTCTGAGCAGAGTTCAATTGGTAGTCATAAAAAAATTCAACTCTTGGATTTTATGACCTCTTGAGGTCAGACGTATTCAAGTGAATGCTGCAATCATTCGATTGAAAACCTTTGCATGATGGAATAGTTACGAAGAAGACAAAGAAAAGAAGAGATTGAATACTGAGCTGCAGAGCTGCAATAGCTACACTGCAATTTGAGGGCAAGCTTCAACGCTCCCCAAGACAACAGAGCCATCATTGTGGCTGATAAGCAAAATCAAGATTAAAGGATAATTTTACCGTCAAAACTTTATGTAATAACCAGAGCCGGCCCTGGGCTAAAGCACAACAAGCATTGTGCTTTAGGCGCCAAATAATATATATAGTTTTGGGGCGCCAATTTCTAGTTGGTGACTGTAGTGTAGTGGTTCATGTGTTGGTTAGTGTACCCAGGAACCTGGTTTCGAGTCCCTGTCTAAACAGTTTTTCTCCTTTTTCTCAAAAACGTGTTTTTCAGTGGGCAAATTTTTTTTTTTTTGCTTTAGGCGCAGAAATACAATGGGCCGGCACTGGTAATAACAACTATCTCACTACATTGATGTATACACATATTGCTTTAGATCTGCTATCTATATGTATTAAACTGTTGAAGTGTGTAACAAAGAACTAAAGCGGACACATCCGTTGGATGTAATAAATGGACGGTTATGATCTTATAGAATGGGCCTTGAGAATACTTCAGGTAGTGAGCGTTTTTTTAACAAAGCCCAAAATACAATCACTGCCACATGCTCCGTACCAAGTAAAAGCACATCATCGCTTCCAATCGGCGAAAAATCGATCGGACTTGGAGAAGACGCGAGAGGAGAGGAGAAGAGAGTTAAAGATGGTTGGCGCGAATTTGAAAGCAGAGACGATGGCTCTAATGGATAAGAGAAAGGCCATGGAGACTGAAATGAATGCTATTGTCGAACGTCTCTGCAATCCCGGCGGTCCTGGTCTCTCCGGCAATCTTGTCGACCCGGAGGTACTGTAGTCTTGAGTCTTAACTGAAACATCTCGTTATTTTGCTCTCTCTTTTTACGCGTTTTGTTTTATTATTTACGATAGGGATTCCCTCGGGAAGATATTGACATTCCGGCGGTGAGAGCTGCGAGGCATCGTCTTGCTGGTGCTTAAACCTTTTTACCTTTTCTTTGAAATTTGAGAAAACGTCTTTGGCCTTGTGCTGAATTAGTCCAAAGTTAGAGTGATATTACGATTCAGTGAGTGGAGAGCATATGTAGTTGGGCTGTTGTATTGGTTTGAGGTTCATTCATGGTTTTGTTAGCTAGATATGAAATTGGAAGGAATCAAGCTTGATTTTTCTATATTCTGTTTCTTAGCATGTGCTATAGTGTGGATGTGTAGCTTATATAGTGGATCAATGTTAATATCTGCACTACCCCTACCGCTTTGAGTTGGTTTCTTTCTTTCTCTAAAACATTTTGTCTGCACCCACACAGAATTAAGGAATGAGCACAGCGAGATCACGGAGAAGATAAACGTGAACATTCAAATTCTTCATTCAGCGAGGCCTACATCCAAAAAAGATTCAGGTATGACTGGATAAAGAGCTCCAAAGCTTCAAGTTGAAATCTTTGATTGGTTTTTGGTCCTTTTGCTTATGCTACGAGTCTATGACTAGTTCAATGAGACATTTATACTTTCAAACCATATCCACAACGTAATTACAAAGAATGATGCAGGTCCAGAAGAATCAGTCTCGTCAGGTGAAGTGACTTCTTTATCTGCCCCCATGCAGACAGCTGGCTTCAGTGTTACTTCACGTGCCATGGATGTGGATGTGGTTACTAGTATTCCCTTTGCAATGGTTGATGAGATAAACGAGTCATCTCCAGCAGCAGAGGATGGATTACAGCTTGGAGATCAGGTTGTGAAATTTGGCAACGTTGAGGGTGGTAACAATCTGTTGCAAAGGCTTGCCGCTGAAGCTCAGTCTAACCAGGGACAAGCAGTTTCTGTTGGAGTGATAAGGCAAGGTGCAAAAGTCGATTTGTCTGTCACACCGAGGACATGGCAAGGCAGAGGTCTATTAGGGTACTTACTGATTCTCCTAAACAATACATTTCAATAGTTGATCTTTTCACAATAAAGAAGGAAAACAAAAATTTCTCCGTATCAACTGTTGAATTATGGATGGTTAACTCTTTCCTATCTGATCTTCTTCTATTGCAGGTGCCATTTCCGTTTGGTATGAGCCTTGGACTATCATTTGGAGGCCTGGATATGGTGAAAGCTTCTGTCCTGCAGAGTTGGTGGGTGATGAAGTCAAAATTTACAAACTTAATTTAGTAGGCGTGCAAGTGTTTGTTTGCACAGCTTGCAAAGTAGAGTAAACAATATTTTCATCTTTGTAATGAGAACTCAACTTTTCAGAGAAAACAAAAAGCATTTGGTCTGTAGCTGTTAAGACAATTAAGAGGCTTCATTACTCATCCGAACAATGGTTTAGGTGGATTAAACAAAGGATAATTGGAGCCCAAATTATGGAATTTTTAACCCAATTCATTGATACTTACCAAAATTAGGTAATCACCGCACTAAGAATTGTGGTGGTAATAAAGTCGACGTCGTACATATTCACTTGCAGGAGCGATCAATTTCCTCAGTTTTGAGATTCTCTTGAATTTGAGATTGTTGGTATTTTAGGTTTGGTACTTAAGTAAATCATAGCCATGTTTGGTTAACTGAAATAGTTATAGCACTCCATGTTTTCAAAACGTATGCTCTCTGTACAAAAGGTGTTATTTATCACTAAAGGAAAAAAACATTTACATTTCGGAAAATGGAGTGTGCTAATTCACGATGTCAAGTAGGGTTTAAGCTTGTTTATATCCACGCTCTATTTGCTTGATGAATATTCCTTACTGTCATTCTTTGGTGGTGTATGTTCATGAGGTTGTTTGAACTTCGTGTGCTTTGGCGTAACACATGTGGCCGACGATACTGAGCAAGAGACAGGCCTTCAGGTTCTTGCTATGATTCAGGCTCACCCTAACGTATCTTTGACCATGTGTCTCATCGGTTTAAGCAGCTGTGCAAAACGAAGCGGAACGTGTGCCCTTATAAGCGTCCCGTTCTCTGTATATACCTATATACGCAACAAACACAAGACATGATAATCATATGTATATGGCTTATCCGAAAAATAAATAAAAAGGAAAGGACTTAAGATGGCTGTTCATCTACTCACAGTTTCTTTCACCATTCCAACCTTGTGTATAGTGCTTAGAAGGTCCCCTTTATCAAATGGCAACAGGGCTTCAACCCAAACCATTGCATCCTGTAACAGTTTTTTAAGAACTAAATTTCTAATGTGCCACAATCATGAACCAGAAAATAAATTGATGAAAATGAAACCTTGAGCTTCTCATGAACAGCATTGCAGAATTCGTCTAGTCCTTCTCCAGTCAGGGCAGATATACAAATTACATCCCCGTTTTCCTCTGCTTCCAGCTTGACCTTTTGAGGATCATCCACTCTATCAACCTAACCAAGGGGGTACAGAGTATTACAGTTGTTCCTGCGTTATTTTGCTCATAGAGCAAGAGATTGAATAGAAATACAATCATGTCCGTCTCTACTACTATACGTTACCTTGTTCCACACAACCAATTTCGGGATTGATGAGACATCGAGTTCAGACATGACCTTTTCCACAGCTTCTATTTGTTGATTTGCCAGTGGGTGGCTAAACATTTTACAAACATAATACCATCAGAAGGTGAAATTATGACATATGATTGATTAACCCAATTTTAACCAGGATCTAACCTGATGTCAACAACATGCACCAAAAGGGACGACTCTGATATCTCTTCGAGTGTTGCTCTGAAAGCAGCAACCTGCAAGACAATTTTTAGCTGGTTACTCACCGTGTTGACACAAATCCTTCTACACTTTGATTCTAAGAGACACTCATGGGAATATTATCAAAACAGATGCATCCACATGGAGGACATGTCCGTTTAAGACTTTAGTTGAGTATTAGCCATTAGGAGGACCTTACCAGGGTGGTTGGTAACTTTTGGATAAAACCAACGGTATCTGTGAGAAGAAACTCCTTCCCGTTTTTCATCTGACCAAAAGAGACAAAAAAGGAGCTCTCATGTCAGAACTCCATACCACGTTAGATACACAAAATTTGGTTGGAAAAAAAGTTTCAAGATGGCAGCGTAGGTTTAGATACACATCACATAGTACACGTCATCCGTTAAGTAATGCGAGTATTGGGGACTTGTGTATTCTGTAGTAGCATATAATAAAACAAAACAACCGTCTCCCGGAAATGGAAAGGACAGCAGATCAGCTACTGACCTGAACCCTTCTTGTAGTTGGATCAAGGGTTGCAAACAAACGATTTTCAGCGAGAACATTAGCACCAGTCAATTGGTTCAAAAGTGTACTCTTTCCAGCGTTTGTGTAACCAACCTAAAGCAGAATGGGTAGAAAACATTCACATAAAACAATGGAAGTGTTGATCAATTCCTAAGAGTTTAACATACTATGGTGTACTTACCAAAGATACCACAGGAACAGGTACAGCAACACGCCGGGTCCTATACTGCTTTCGGTGCTTTCTAACAGATTCCAACTCCTTTTTGAGAACTCCAATCTGGCCCATTCAAAATCAAAACTTTCAGAATATACTTCCATCTTAATGGACCTATACCCACTCATCACAAACTGTGTAACACACCATTTCTTGAAAAACGAGGAGCAGTAGCAAAAGAGGCTAATAACTGCAGAAATATATATATTTCACTTACTTGAGTACGCAGGATACGCTTATCAACTTCAATTTGTTTCTCTCCCATACCCTTAACTTGGCCACCTGATTGACGCTCAAGATGAGTCCACATTCTAGTTAGCCGTGGTAACTGGTATTCCATTTGAGCTAGAGCAACCTGGAAACAATTCCAGATTGAGCCAATATTGTACATCGTTTCTGAAAAGAGAAAACATAAACGTTTTTACAACGGTCATCATGTATGCTTTATCTTACCTGCAAGGCCGCTTCATGAGTTGCAGCTCTTTGGTTAAAAATGTCCAAGATAAGAGCAGTGCGGTCACAAACTCGTACATCCCCACCAAAGGCCTTTTCTAGATTACGCAATTGCCTAAAATTTCAAATACAGAGTAATAAGAAAATGAAACACATGCTAATATTAAGGTATGCAAGAGGCTTCAAGAGCACATGTTAAGAAAATACATAGAAACGTTACCCTGGTGAAAGTTCATCGTCAAATATCACGGTCTCAGCGTCCAACGCTTGAATGGCGCTTTTTATCTCCGAGACCTTTCCCGATCCAATGTATGTTCTGGGATTTGGGGAAGCTAGCCTGTTGTAAACCATCAAAAATTCATTGACTTTAGCATCTCAGGGGGCCTAGAATCCAGCCTCATCAAGAGCAATACATAGAGAGAAGTAGAATCACTAACTTCTGATACGTAGAACCAACAACCATAAGCCCAGCAGTATCCGCAAGCTGTTCTAGCTCCTCAAGTGATTCCTCTATATCAAACAAACATTCTCCATCACCCTTTCTTTCCACTCCCACTAGATATGCCTTCTCCTCAAAAACCTGCAAATCACAAACGATTTATGCTTCTTCAATCATTTCTAGATACTAAATTTCCCCATAGAATCAAGCAAATCTACACCAATCTCATCGAATTTACGGAAGTAATTTTCCTCCGTTATCCACTACCCTTCATTTAAACCATAGAGAAATGGTGACGAAGAAGAGAAAATAAAAGGTAACGCAAACCTCCTTTCCATTTCTGAGCTTGAATCTATCGTCCAAGCTCTCTTCATCAGCTTTCTTCTTCCTCAGCATTGTAGATGGAGCAGCAATCGTCGCCTTCGGCTCCTCCTCTGCAGAGAAATCGAGGAACTGAGGGATTTCATCTTTCTCCACACTTTCCTCGAAATCGAGACCAGGTTGAGTAAGGTTACAAGATAATCTCCATGAATAGCTGTTGCCATGGAGAAGAGAGAGAGGAAGATGAACAATCGGGCGATTGGGTTTATGGTTACAGTTCGCGCGCCACTGAAGTTTGGAAACTGGAGAAGAAGAAAAGGAAAATGAGCTCATGGTGGATAATATTGAAGCGAGAGCATCGGAGATTGAGGTGGAGACTGGAGAGGTTTTTATACTGTCACTAACACCCACTTATTCAACTACGTGACGTTTTGATGAATCCCTTCAGTGAACTGCTTTCCGTTTTTTAATTCTATTTTTGCTCGGGGGTCTTGTTTGGTTACTAGATTAAATGTATCTTGTCCATGGACAAATCGTTTTAATTGTAAATCTAACGTTTTTTTTTTTTTTTTTTTTTTGCATTTTCTTCTCGAGTTTGTTGGGAAGAAAAAGAAAGAAGAAACTCATGGGAATTTTCAGGAAATTTTTCAGCTTTGTTCTCACTTTGAGGAACCAATAATTAGGTGTGCAAAGTTCTGAGATTTACATTTCAAGTCAATGTACTCATTTCCTCTCTCTCTAGTCTCTATCATTTTTTTATTCACAAATGCAAGCTGGTATCTGTCGGTCTCCATGTGGCTTATTTGAATCGCTTTCGTTGTTCTTGCCCAAGGTGCTGTTTTTTGTTTTTGAAACCCTAATCTTAGTTTGGTCAGAAAAAAAAAGAACTTTTTTTGTTAAAGGAATGCTCTTTTTTACTTGGTAGAGTGTAGTAGCTTCTAAAACTGAGTGTGTTTTTTCTGTGATTTCCAACAGGATATTGGTTCGTTCAAGGAGTTAACTTCGCTTTGTGGATCTAAGCTGCTATATCAGCAGCCGAGAGCTGGCTAAATGGAAGTGGTACGCTATTTTGTGAGCTTCTTCTCGATGGCGATGATGTCTCTGAGCTCCTCAGAGCTGTTTGTGAGGAAAAAGAATGGCATGTTTCTGGTGTTTCTCTGTTGATTCAAAGTTGGGGGTTACAAAAAACGAGTCTTTATACGGCCAAGAGTCAGAAATCAGGTCCGAGGCTCGTGAACGCTGTTGTGAGTCAAGCTCTTGGTGAAATCTATGTCTAGTGCTCCTAGAGTTGACTCCATGAATAGGGCTGAATCAGAGAAGAAGCCAACTCTGGGGACTGCTGCTAACAAGCCTGTTCCGTTCATCACACTCAAAACTGTATCGAAATCGCTGAGAAAGCTTGAAAGATCCATATCGAATGCTTCACCAGCTGAAACTGTGTCTTCTTCTTCTTCTCAGAAGCACAACACTCTTAACGCAGCTTCTGCATTACGACGGCATGAGCAGATCCTAAATTCTAACCTGTCAATGAATGCATCATTTTCCTCTGATGCCTCGATGGAGTCGTTCCAGAGCCGAGCATCAACAGGTCGGTTGATTCGGTCGTACAGTGTTGGAAGTAGAGGTAAGTCTTACCCTGCCAAGCCAAGAAGTGTTGTCTCTGATGGTGCTTTGGATTCACAACCAAGTGGTCCAGAGACTAAGAAGAGGTGTGCTTGGGTGACACCAAACTCCGGTCAGTTTTTTACTCTTGAGTACATATGGATGTACACAATAATTCCAAAATCTCTATATTGACTAGCTTTTTGGTATGAGAATGCTAGATCCGTGCTATACTGTTTTCCATGATGAAGAATGGGGTGTGCCGGTTCACGATGACAAGTATGGTTCAAGCTTATCTCCCTTGTTTATATGTGCACTCTATTTTTGATTGATGAATGTTCCTTAACTGTGATTCTGTGGTGGTGTATGTTCAGGATGTTGTTTGAACTTCTTGTGCTTTCTATTGCTTTGGCTGAACACACGTGGCCCACGATTCTGAGCAAGAGGCAGGCCTTCAGGTACTTCTTATGATTCTTTTTTCACCTTCTTCTGCATTCTGGTAGTGCTTTGAGTTTTCTTATGTCAAGTGATGGATGAATGCAGGGAAGTTTTTGCTGATTTTGACCCCAATGTCATTGTGAAAATCAATGAGAAGAAGCTACTCGGTCCAGGAAGCACCGCGAGCACTTTGTTGTCTGATCTTAAGCTAAGGGCCGTCTTTGAGAATGCTCGCCAGATATTAAAGGTAAACCCATCTTCCAGACTTTACTTTGAACACATTCAAAGCCCTGCAAAAGGAGGTCTAATAGATGCCAAAGAATTGTTTCAAGATTTGTTGCATTTGATGAATGATTTCTGTATTGACAGGTGATAGAAGAATATGGATCATTTGACAAGTATATATGGAGCTTTGTGAAGAACAAGGCGATTGTGAGCAAGTTCAGATACCAGCGGCAAGTGCCTGCAAAAACTCCAAAAGCAGAAGTGATAAGCAAAGATCTAGTGAGGAGAGGTTTCCGCGGTGTAGGACCAACGGTGGTGTACTCCTTCATGCAGGCCGCAGGGATAACAAACGATCACCTCACCAGCTGCTTCAGGTTCCACCACTGTATATTCGGACAAGAAAGGTCTGTCTGAAAAAATTAGCAACTTTTTTTAACTTGTTAACAAGTCTCTTTATTAGTATCAAAACCAAACCAATGAAGAAGCTAAAGGTTTGTAAAATATCCGAAACAAAAAAAACGAAGTGTTGGATATGAATTAAACTGCATATCGGTAGGTGTAATAATCCAGAGAAGTAACATCGCTTCGTCTGATCTTGACAACTTGTCCTCGCTTGAGTCCATAGTATCTGGCAACAGGATCAGAGACTAGGATGCGAGGCAGCTGTGTGTCTTGCACTGTGTACTTCTTGAGTAACTCTTTCTTGGCTTCGTTGTCGAGTACATAGTACTTGTTGATTAGTTTATGCTCAGTGATATTGGTAACCAATTCGGCTTCCTCAAAGACTTCAAGTGTTACAACCTTGTTGAGCTCTACTACTCCGTGTTTCGCGGGAGCGGTTATGGGCAATGGAACAACTATGATCCCTCGGTGAACTTTATCGTCTCTCATCTTCATCACAAAGTTTTTAATCACTTGGACTCCCACCTTGCCGTCCGGGTAGAATACGTAAATCTGCACCAACTCAAAGATAGAGACAAAACTCAACATTGCGAGTAGCGAGTACAAAGAGCTTAAAAACTTTATAGGACATGTTCTGCATAGATGTGTGCGTACCTTGTCATCTGGATTTGGCCCCTTATTAGCTTGGACGAAAAGAGCTTCCTTGTTTATTTTGTTCGCAGCTATACAATACTTCTGAACAAACTCTTCTCTCTTCAAGTTCAAATCAGAATCTTCCATACTGTAACCTCGATCCCTCAGCATCTGCAACACCGTGCGTCGCACCTTGAAGAGCCTCGTGATTTCATCATCCACCTCTGACATTCTCTTCAAACTCTTAGTTTTTTTTGTTTTTGTTTTGCCGGCGAAGAAGCAAGAGAGGAGCTGAACAGCCTGTTAATGAGAGGTTTTACTAGGGTTTAGGGGAGTCATAAATGTAGTATTATAGCATAGTTTACATATTTAAATGGAATCTGAATCTCTCTATTTCCTACTTTCCTACACGACATGATTGTCTTTTTCTCTCTATGTTCATGCTAAAACATTACTATTCTCTCTCTTGAGCATATATCTAAATACAGGTGTAACCGTGTAATGAACTTGTTGAGATAAAAAAAAAAATATAGCATTACAAGAGAGAATAGGGGGGAAAAAAACAAATAATATTACTCCAGAAGCAGAGGATGGGATCTGTCTTTGTTTATCACAAAGAGAACAAAACTGAGAGGAAAAGAGATCACAATCAATGTCTAATGTTATAGCCTCTCTTTTCCTCTGTTGTTAACATTACTTTTTCGCCAAATACAGCAGCAACAAGTGGATTACATAGCTTATAGAATACGGGCTACGGCTAGTCCCTTACTCATCTCCTCAAGCCTTTCTTTGCAGTATTCATGCGTTGCGTCCATTTCTTCTTTAAGCCTTTCTTTGCACTATTTGTGCGTTGCGTTGCAGTATTCAAGCCTTTGTTTGTTTGTCTCCTCGATGCAATCACCTGGAACGGGTTAGGCCCTCCATGCATCTCCTCTTTGATCCTTATCTTCTTCGTCTTCCCTCTATCATATTCTTCATCCCTGCCACAATCCAATACCATTTATGTGTAAACAAACTGCCCAATAATATTAACTAAACCAAAACAAACAACCCAGAATATCATGCTTACCACTCATCTGCTACATAACCGATTCTCGTGCTTTCACTCTTTCGAATCTTAGAAGATGAAACTTGCTCACCCCATTTGGCAACTGCAATAGTTACAAGACTTAAGCCCCTCAAACGATTACACAGTATAAGCTCTGGCTTAAAAGCCATTTCCAGAAACAAATCAGAGTTGGAGAATGATAATGTTATCACGTAACTGGATCACGTTCATTATCATTAGCAATTAACAGTCAGTGTGACCAAATTTCTAAAAGCGTCAAGTCGAGGAAAGTCGAGGAAACGGAATACTTACCCACTGTCTCTGGCAAGCCCCGCGTGAGAATGGTCTCCTGTTCTTCCTGTGACGAGATTTGTTCTTCTTTTGAGGACTCTCTCTTCCTTTTGGCGTTTTGGCTTGCTTCAGACAAGTCAGAACTTGGTTGCTGTTGGTCTGACGCAAGAACAGCACCATTCTGATTAGTTCTCTCCTTGAGCTCTCCGGTTTGAGAAGGCAGCATATTCCCATTACTACTACTCCTTATCCTTTTACTAGAATCCTTCCCGTGCGAGCAACCAGAGCCAGAAGCAACCTCCCTAGTTATCTGTGAAGTGGAAAGCTCCTCAGATATGATTTTGACAGCTGAGGTACCTGATCTTCCCCTTTTTTGTTTCTTTTTTTTTAGCACGCCCAGGGTCCGCTTAAAATAATTCAATCCCACCGACAGTTTTTTCATGTTACGCTTGCGAGTCTTTCTTGGTGGCGTGAGAGTCTCCTCATCAGAAGTTGCCTTTATTGACTCGGTCAGAGTGTCTGATTCTTCAGAGTGATGTCCCAAAGTCTGATTAACAACAACAGCTTCTTGGATAGATGAATGACCAATCGATACATTCTTAGCCTGGAGACCATAAACGAAATACAAGTTAGAAACACACAATTGCATTAACAAAAATGTGGCTATAAGAAACAAGATACCGACTCCTGCAGGAATAATTAAGTATACACTCACCTCCAGAGAATTGGCAGGCTCATCCAAGTTATCAACAGAATTCTTCTTTTCAACACTATCTTCAGCACTAGCTCCAGAAGTAGGCAAGTTCACAAGAATTTGAGTGTTTGCCTTGCCCAAAGATTCTTCCTCTTTAGCCTGCGAAAGTGGCATTTCCTTCTGAAGGGTCTCTTTGGCATTTAAATCTCTCTGAGTTAAGCCAGCAGGAGCACCTAGAGCACATGATCTCAAGGGTGTCGTCCCATTGTCCCCCGTTACGATCTCTTTTAGGGAATCTTCATGAGTCTCTTTGGCATTTTCATCTTTTTGGGTTAGGACAGAAGGAGCACCTTGATCACATGGTCTCAAGAGTGATGTACCATTTCCCCTCGGTAAGATCTCCTTGGCATCCATACCGCTAGAGGGACCTTTCTGGATCTCTTTGGCATTTAAATCTTTTTGGGTAGAGACAGCAGGAGCACCTTGACCACATGATCTCAAGGGTGGTCTGCCATTAGCAACAAGAGCGTCTACACTACATGCTTTGACGTCTGTTGAACTATCCACTTTATCATTTCTGTTAGTTGCAACGCTGTCTTTGGCAGTCTCTTTCTTAACCACGGTAACTGCATTCTTTGGGGTTGCATTTTGTCTATCACGAACATAAAATAGCATATACGCATTCTGATTGAACACCGTATTCTCACTAACTTGGCGTACCTGCAACAATGTTGTAAAGAGAGTCACATCAACAAATAATTACTAAACTAACTGCAGGTACAGTATCAAACCAAAACTTTGGAACCCAGAGAACGTAGAACTTACCGTTTTGTCATCAAGGGAATGCCACATTCCATTTGAAGTGCGAACAAAGCAAGCATAGTGACCAGAATGGCTGCTTTGACCATAATGAACTAGCACACCATATAGAGTGTACTTCAAATTACCTTCCTGTTCAACAAAAGTATGGTAAATGAAGCTCAAAGATTAAAAATAAATACAATAACAAGATTATCTAAACTGTAAAAACATATCAATTCCATGGAAAATAGAGCAAAAGACGAAGTCTACTTACATAGGGACCAGTGACAAAAGGTCTCATGTCAAGTGCAGAGGGAAAGGGAACTTTTTTGTTGATTTTTACGGATCTATGAGCTTCAAACCGCTTGAGATGTATCGTCAGAACATAAGGAGGAGCTTTAAAAATAGTTAGCTGCTTTATAGCCTTAACTTTCTGCTTGCATTTTTCACATTGGTAGACCTTTGCACCATCATCTAAGAGCTCAAACGTAGTGAAACGCTTAAGTGCTTTCTCCAATGTATCTGCCTTCGAAATGTCCAGACTCAAGTCAAGAAATGGATCAAACTTGTCAGAGCAATGAGAACATTGCGCGCATTCCACCTGAAAAAAAAAAACAGAATATTAGAGATGGCTTAGGCTGTTTGATCATGTCATAGAGGTCTTCTATCCAAAAGATGCAAGAGTTTCTGGAAAAATAAAAATGCAACTTTACCCGACTACGGAGGCTACCACCAAAGATTTTGTGTACCAGGCTGCTCCTGTAAGCATCAGAGGACTCACTTGGTACACCAGAAGGCAGACAACACTTGTGCATGCATTCTAGCAAATTGATCATGTACTCATGTGCATCTTCCTGCCGACAGTTTCTGAAGTTTCGGGATACGCCTAATTAAGCAGTAGTCGAGAATCATCATCATTAGTCTGGTTAGTAATTGACACACTAATAGTGCAAGCAGACAAGGTCTGAGAAGCATACATCGCAAGTTTGAGACCAAAGCTTTCGGTGCTAATACTTTGCCATTAGCGTTATGGGCAATCCTGACATGGTTTTGCATTGCACATAAAGCACAGAACCCAGCCACGCGACCTACACCAAAACGATTTGATATGAACACTGTTATCACTTGACTTACCACAGCCAGAGATGAATCAAACCAGCAAGATATTTAGCATTACGAGCATCAAAAATGCAACTTACAGTTTTTGTGCCCAACTTTTATCAGTTGAGCAGCTAAGGGCTCGGTGTATGTCAAACATTGTAACACCGAATTGAGAAAACATGTATTCCCGAGATTCTGCAAACCCGCACCCTACAAACAGCATCCACATTTCAATCAAACCAAAAAAAGGAAACATCTTTCGGCCAATCATTTGATCAAATCACGCACAAAACCATAAGAGAGGGACGACTAAGAGCACTCACGATTCTGCGGAAGGTTATGGTGAAAGTAAGCTCCGGATCTATCCCGTGCTCCGCCGAATCGGACCCGTCGGGCTTCTTACCGGACGGTGCGGAGGAGAAGGCTCGCTTGTTAGTAGCGGAGCTGGGATTTAAAGTCTCGATCTTAAAATTGGAACCCCGATTGGAGATGCCATTGAAGGGTTTCCGAGCGGGGTGGAATTCGATCTTCCTAAAGACGGCGGAAGCGGAAGATGAAGAGAGGGCAAAGGATCCGTTGCTGCTCGGCGGATCCTGATCCGTCTGGATCCTGAATTCGGGGCTGCTCGCAACAGCCTCCATTCACAAATCAAATGGAATCAACAATTCGCAGTTAGAGAAGAAGACACGGTTTGTGATTGGAAGGGAACGAGATTAGTGTGAAGAGAGAAGAAGAAGAGAGCTTTTACGGCTATCTTCGAAAAGAAAAGAGAGTGGCAGCTGCAACGCACTATTAAACCCTAGCAAAGACCCATCCCGACATTACTCGGCCACTTGTTTTTAATAATTTTTACTCGTCAAGACAAAATAACAGAAGCTACTGTTTCGGTTACTGTGGTCTATGCCGCGCCGGATTATTACCGGCGAAACGAACAGTATTATATATAGCGTGAACCTAATTTAGGTCGTGTTCACTAGCGGGCCTATATAAAAAGCCCATTAATGTTGACATTTGGGATTTGCTTCGTACTTAAAAGTTTGGAACTTATGTAATAAAAGGAGAAATTCGATTGGGTTGATTCCTATGAGTAGACCCAAAACATTTTGCAGCTATATAAAAAGTTAAAAGTTGAAAACTGGTGCTGGGGATTTAATATATGGTTTCTTTCTGATAAGGTTTCGGTTTTTATATATTAGAAGTTTGAACATTGATAAACCAATCGATAAAAATATATATTTACTGCAGAAATCTGAATTTTTTTAAATATATAGATTGTAAAAGAGCTTTTTCAGTTTTGGGAAAAAAAAGGTGGATGGAAAAAGGAAAAGAGTGGAATTTGCATGGGAGAGATATAGATCTTTTATATGAAAAGTAATAATGATATTACCCGACACATATTGTAATTGGTAAACATGTGTAAGGATCCCGAGTCGGTGAAGACTCCAAAGTACGTCTGTATTTATATATTTACAGACTATGAATTGGAGGAATTCAATATCTAATCCCAATAAGATACGCGCATTATTGAAATCGAGACCCATTGGTATTTGGTTCGCTTTTTTAAATAGTGAATGATAAATTAAGCTTGTGTATGTTAGGTAAATGTCAATAACATATTTTTTAGTTTCTTAAAATATACTTATATATGTTCATTGCTAGTTTGCTGCAACGAATCGTTGCAACGGTAGTTGAGCTAACTCCCAAGTTTAGAGATAACAAAATGTATTTTTTTATGTAGAGAGAATACAAAGAGAGAAAGTACATAAAGAATGAGAGAGAAAAGGTGCATGAAAATACGAAGCAGAGAGAGCTGAAAACAATGAAGCAGGTGCATAGGGAGAGGAGCCATGAGTCACGTGCCTTGCCACTCGACCACGTGCCGTCTAAGCTACTCCAACTCCGATCCGATTCCAAATTTAATTGGGGTCCAAACTTTACTAATCTATGTATTTGTAATTAATTAATTAGTGTAACTAAACGCACGCGCACGCACGCAGTTGCAACTTCGCATTTATACTCCTAGGTGTGTTACAGTAGTTATTTTACTTAGGTGGAGTAGTTTATCCAACACACCCAAATATGCATCTAACGGTAATTGAGTGTTTGGTATAAACGTATATAAATGTATGAAAAGTTATATTTGTATGCTTGTAAATCTATCCAACATTCTACCTCTATAATTACCGGTTGTGTTTTATTATCACTTTTTCTGTCACGAGAAAAGGTGTCGGTGGTACTTATTTCACCGATCCGGTGACAGTAATTTGTGCTTTTTAAGAAAGTTACAAAAGATAGTGGAAACTCTCTGTATACAGAAAAGGTGTTAAATTGGATTCATTTGTTCACTCTCATCCCAAACACTCAACCTTACTATGACTAGCCTCCTTTCTCAAAACCAAGCCTCATTTAAATAGGAGCTATAGCTCTGTACATATATAGATAGAAATTTAAAACGGCTGAAACTGGTGAGACAAGATTCAGTGCCATAAATATTCTTATTGAGTTGGTGGAAAATGTCAAAACCCAAGCAATCCAACAAATATTCCTAAAATGTTTTTTTTTGGTGACGAGTGTAAATGGATCTTCTTCACACCTAGCATTCCATCTAACGTACAGGCTTCTTTGTTTTCATCATCTCTTGCAAACAATCATACCTTATCAAAATGCTAACATTGTATAAAACAAATTTTCCCATTAACATTCCAATATAATAAAAACGTTGGTATTTCCAGGATCAATGTGACAATGTGAATATGGAGAGGAGCTTTCACTTGGATCTCGTGACCATTTACAAAGAAGAAAAAGGATACTAATATAGAGGAAGAAGAAGCAATTCATTTGTTTACACGGCACATGTGATTCTGGATAACGTAAACTTTAGGATAAGGAAGTGAAATAAAGTAGAAGAAAAGTGTTGATAACTAAGTTGGAAAAGAAAAAGGAAATTAGGGTAAAAAAGAAAAGAAAAAGTAGAGATTGTGATCATAGACCTTAATGATTGTGTTTAAGCAGCATCCTTGCAGAGCAACCACATGCAAAGGCTTTTTAAGTTAGTTAAAGCAGAGCCAATTTGGTGATCTATAGTCTTATGAGACAAAGATAGGTCCTCTTCTCTATCTAACATAACATCTACTTTTCAATTTTCATCTCTCTAATAGATGAAAATCAATTATCTGTCCTTGGTGTCCAACAACCTCCATTTTCCTTCAGCTTCAAGGCTCATCATCATTACGAGTTTTCTCTCTGTGGCACTAAATCCAACTCAATTACCAGTAGGACAGTGACATAAAGTCAGAGGAAATGGACCCAAGCAGCAACAGCAGAAGAAGAAGAATTGCCGTTGGAGGAGGAGCCGTTGTTGCTGCAGGCTCTGTTTGGGAAACGAGAATGCAGACCGACGACGAAGTTAGTAACAATAAAGCCATTGTCAATGTCAAGGCCATTCATCTTCATGCTGTCGACGAACACGACAATTCTAACAAGCAGATGAGCTTAAAGGAGACTGCTTTAGGGGTTAATGGAAAGCGAAGGACTTGGAAGTCCGATGTGAAGAGCTCATCCACTGAGATCAGTCGAGCCGATTCCTCTCTGAAGCTCACGAGGCCGAGATCGTTCGGTAGTACTCCTCCGGTGACGCCGAGGAGATCAATTGGCACTCCTCCTCCGATGACGCCGAGGAGATCGATCACTAGTGACTCCAGTGATAATAAGAGTTTGACTGTGTCGGTGTCGGTGAAGAAGACGAGATCTGATTCCGTGGAAGGGATTGAGAAGACTCCGGGTCGGGTTAAGAAGACCCGATCGGAACTCTGCACGGCGATCGTGAAATCCGGTGAATTTGATTCAGCTCCGTTGAGAAAAGTGAATTCATTGCCAGCTCGCAATTCCGAGAAATCCGATGAGAAAACAGAGCATGTCGATGTACTTCCAGAAGAGAAGAAAGACGAGACTGTAACCGAGAAGCTGCAGATCACAGACGAAATTAAGGAGTTTGGTGTCTGTCAGGAGACAGTCGTCTCCGCTAATACGAACGAAGATGAGCAGATCGAAAATGGCGATCACGAGGAGGAGGAGAGAGAAGCGGAGAAGCAGAGTGTTGATGTGAAAGAAATGAATGTAGCGAAGGAGGTTAGCAAGAACAGAGTCAGTATTGAAACTAAAAAATACAGTCAATTTCACAACAGAAAAGCTCCGTCGCCGTCTTCCGTCCGTAAAATCCCGGCTCCGGTAATCAAAAGAGCAACTCCCGTTTATTCGGTCCCACCAAGCAAAGGTTTGTGATCCGAATCTCAGTTTTTTTTTTCCATCGGCTACTCAATTTTGATGAAACCTCTGTTTTTAACTATCGTTTCCAGATAGAATTACAGAGGAAGGACACAACTTTACTCAGCCACAGAGCAAATTACAGAGTCTAGGTGAGATTCCTAATGGATTAGTCTGCATAAAGTAAAGAATTTTTAGTCCCAGAAGTCTTGGATTTTATGTAAAAATGATGAAATGAAATGGACAGTGGATCTGGTGATGTGGAGAGAGGCATCAAGGTCGGCGCTTGTCTTCGGTCTCGGAACATTCCTCATAATCTCTTCTTCATACGCCAACGATCTCAACTTCAGGTGTTTCTCATTGGATTAAGGAAATACAGAAAAGGTAGTTAAAACTAAGAACAAGAACTAAAATGTGAATGGTTATGATTATCAGCTTCATATCAGTGGTAGCGTACATGGGACTCATATATCTGGGAGTCATGTTCGTATTCAAATCAGTCATCCACAGGTTTGATACATACAGTAGATCTCACTCTCTCTCTCTCTTTGCATGTTGTTTATGTGATCCAGTATGAAACTTTAGAGAATGTGGGCAGGGGAATAGTGGAGGAGGAGGAGGAGAGGCATAAAGAGGGTGGAGTGAGAGAGGAAGACGTCAAGAGAATGCTCAGACTCATAATGCCTTACCTCAACGAGTCTCTGCTTCAACTCAAAACCTTTTTCTCCGGAGATCCATCCACCACCCTCAAGGTAAGTACTAAGTTAAGTCCACGTCTCTCTCTCCTTGTCTCTTTTGGCCTTAAAGCCCTTAACAAAGCGGAGATAATGATGATCGGCAGATGGGAGTGGTGCTGTTCGTTCTGGCCAGGTGTGGCTCTTCTATCACTCTTTGGAACCTTGCCAAATTTGGTACTTTTCTCCTACAATTTTAACTCTAGACTGCAAGATTTTCTTGTTTTGATAGATTCTGAGTTATTTGGTGTGAGAACAGGCTTTTTGGGAGCATTTACAGTGCCGAAAATATTCATCTCCTACTCAACACACTTCTCTGCTTACGGTAAATTAAAACTCCTTTTGGTATCTTTTCAGCCACGGCTTCTTTGGACATTTTAATCAAAACAGATTGTGTACATTTGCAGGTAAGTTCTGGGTGAGGAGATTCAGGGACGCATGGGAATCATGTAATCACAAAAAAGCGGTGGCTTTAACACTCTTCACCCTCGTCTGGAACCTCTCCTCCGTCGTTGCCCGTGTTTGGGCTGCATTCATGTTATTCGTCGCCTTTAGATATTATCAGCAGAAGATGATCTGGACGACTGATCAAGACGATGATGAGGATGAGGAGGAGGAAGAGGATGAGGAAAATGTAGTAGACGATGACGATGAAGAAGAAGAAGAACAAGTCCCTAAGCTAAAAAGAGCTGCTTATATGATGATGATGCCTAATAAACTCAAGAAAAATTCTTAAATTTCTCAATTTTTTTGTTCTCCCATATGTAATACATAATGTAATCTCATTAGTATTTTTAGTTAGGGTTTCTCTGTTACCTCTGCCACTTCACTTCACTATATATATACACACATCTTGTATACACTGAATAATGTGAATCTGATGTTCTTCTTGTAATCAACCACTTCCTGCAAACCATTCCATGATCTAAAGTCTAAACATCCCACATTGAAATGTTTAACCATTCTTATTTCTTAGTCTTACGCTAGGCTTGTGTGACCCAAAATAGATAATCTTTAGTAGGCTTCTTATGGGCCCCAAAACGGGCCTCGAAATATAACCAACCGGAGAGAGGTTGAAACGAAACGCTTATTTTACTTTACGGTTGCTCCGTCGAGACATATATCTCCCACTCCGTCTTCAAAACCCAAATCACGATTTGATTGCTCTCGCAATAGACGAACAACAAGTTTTAAGGTTTTCGTCCTTATTCTTCTTCCTTGTGCTATGATTCTCTGAGATTTCGATTCGAATTCCATCTTTTTATGCTTGTTTGTGTTTAATTTAGGGTTTAATCAATTGATAACTTTTTGTTTCCGTGCATTCTGAAATTTTTCAGATTTTGCTTGATTGCGAGTGGCTTTCAGATGAGTGTGGCGAGTGATTCTCCGGTGCATTCCTCCAGCAGTGACGATCTTGCCGCTTTCCTTGAAAATGAGTTAGACTCTGACTCCGACTCAGATTCTTCGTCTGAATCCTTCCCCAGCGAAGAAGCCGAGGATGTTGCTAATCATAGGTTAATTAACGCACTTATTCATGCTCTTTTTACCACCGTCTTTCTGGGATTCTTCTTATTAAAATCTTCAAGCTCTACTGGTATATCTACTTCAGTGTGTATATTTTTTCACTAAATCATGTTTCTTAATCATCTTCTAGGTCAAAGAGACGAAAGTTGGAGTATGTAGAAACTATAGTCGAGGAGAAGATTCAGGGTGTGACTTTCTCAGGAGAATTCTCAAGTGAAGCTCTCTCTTTCTTCTTCAGCCTTACTTTGGTGTTTTGTCATCTGTATCTATTTTATTGACTTTTGAACTTGTTATTGTTTGCAGAAGCATCCTCTAGCAAGTTACCATGTGAACACCCAGGTTCCTTTGGAGAACTGTGCTTTAAATGTGGCCGAAGTTTGAAAGAGGAAGAAACGGGTGTTTCATTTGGATACATGCACAAAGTATGACAAGTTTCAGAAGCGCTTCTTTTTAAATCAAGTCTTTGTCATGATTGATGAGTTTGGGGAAATCTGTTTATCTTTAGGGTATGAAGCTCACTGAAGAAGAAGTCGCCAAGATGCGTGATTCAGATAATAAAGTCTTGCAGCGCAAGCGGAAGTTGTGCCTAGTTCTTGATTTAGATCACACTTTGCTTAATTCAACCGTGCTTAGGGACCTGAGACCAGAGGAGGAATACTTGAAAAGCCTTACTCATTCTCTTCAAGGTGGGATGATATAGAGCTTCATATTTGTTCTTTTGTTGTTCCACCTAGATGTGTTAAAAATAATATATTGATTTTTGTTGTTGTTGAACACAGATGGTTCTGGTGGCAATCTATTCATGCTGGAGTTTATGAATATGATGACCAAACTAAGGCCGTTCGTTCATACATTTCTAAAAGAAGCCAGCGAGTTGTTTGAAATGTATATATACACAATGGGAGACAGACCATACGCAGAGCAGATGGCTAAGCTGCTGGACCCAAAAAGAGAGTACTTTGGCGACCGAGTCATTTCTCGAGACGATGGCACGGTGAGACATCAAAAGAGTTTAGATGTGGTGCTGGGGAAAGAAAGTTCTGTCCTGATTCTTGACGATACAGAGCATGTAAGTATTTCGTTTGCTTTTCATGTAAATTTCGTAATCATGATGTGACTGTGTTAAGATTGGATGTGCTGATACTATGGTTTGATGCGCAGGCATGGCCGAATTACAAGGACAATCTGATCTTGATAGAGAGATATCACTTTTTCGCTTCAAGCTGCAGACAGTTTGATCACAGGTTCCAGTCTCTCTCGCAGCTGGAGAGCGATGAGAGTGAACCGGATGGGATACTTGCCTCTATTCTTAAAGTCCTTAAACAAACACATAGTCTATACTATGAGGTATGCTCAATATATATATATATATATATACATGTAAAGAAAGCTTTTCTTTTCTCTGGCTGGGTTTTTGATCATTACTGTTTTCTCAGGGTGGTGGTGGAGAAGACGCAAATGGCAGAGACGTCAGGTTATTACTGAAGCAAGTGCGTAAAGAAATCCTCAAAGGATGTAAAGTAGTGTTCAGTCGGGTGTTCCCGACAAAGTCTCGGCCAGAGGATCACCCGCTTTGGAGGACTGCAGAAGGACTAGGAGCCACGTGCGCGACGGAAGTGGATGCGTCTGTAACACACGTGGTGGCTATGGACGTGGGAACAGAAAAGGTGCGTTGGGCTATAAGAGAGAAGAAGTTTGTGGTGCATAGAGGGTGGATAGACGCAGCGAATTACCTGTGGAAGAGGCATCCTGAAGAGAACTTCGGGCTGGAGCAGCTCAAGAAGCAAGGAACAGGAACGGAAGAGAAGACTACTAATGATGTAACACTTGAAAAGTAGACTTGAGGAAAGAACAGATAGCTTGTGTAACTGGATTTTTTTTGATTTATGAATGTACTTCGAAGAAAAGTTTTGAACAAAGTGACTAATTTTGGTGACTGGTTCTTTGAATTGTATATACAGTAAAACCTCTATAAAACAATAATGTTGGGATTTTGAAATTTTATTATCTTATAAAGTTATTATTTTATCAATAAAGAAACAATTATTATTTTATAAAAATATTCTATCAAAACAAAACTTTATAGAAATATATTTTTTTCAGATTTTTTATTCAAATTTTCCTTATACTTTGTTATTTACATATTTCATGCTCAGAAGTTCAAAGTCTATAAGAAATTATGTCTACAGTTCTTAATGGTGAAGATGAAATTGAAAATGATAAGGAAGGACATATACAAGTAGTTACACGCAAGGATGCAATTGTGGCTTCGAGAACTCTTCACAACTTTTGGCTGCATGTTGAGAATACTCCAATTTTCAGAAATACAAATTACATTGGAGTCATATTTTATTAAATTGTCTTAGATATATATACATTAGTTTTATAATTATTGTCTTAGCTTATTGTTGGGACTATATTTTGACATATAAGTTTCAAAAATATTATTGTCTTATCATCTTATCGCATTATGCTATTTTTTACACTGGCCTGAGTTGGGACCGGAGAAAAATATTATCTTATAATGTTTATTGTTTTATCGAGTACTAGATTAGGCCCCGCGTATACGCGGGTTTATTTATTTTTTTTTTTTAAATCACGGAAGAATATTAAACAAAATTTGATCAATTTTAAAAATAAGAAAATAATATTAAAAACCCGATAACAAATCTCTAAATAAAGATATGTAGTCTTTTACATTTTTATTTTGAATTCATGATATGAAATAGAAAGATTTACATGTGTCTAAATCTAATCGACTCATTATTTTATGAAACTTTGATTATTCCATGATGAAATCTTTATTTTTAATATTTTTTTACCTAACAAAACATGGAAAATTAAACTATTTAATATTAGAAGATCAGTCCATTATAAAATTTTCTTTTTTAATATTATTTAGTTCCTTAATAATTATTTTGTTAGTTTTCTATTTATATTGTTTCTTTTTCAATTTCGTTTTTGCCTCTGACCATTATAAATTTTCATTTTCATTATTAGTTAGTTGTTTTAATATTATTTTGTTAGTTTATTTATTTATGTTACTACATTTTTCCAATTTTCTTGTGTTGACACATGTCATCACTTCATCAAATATTAGACACATGTATCGATCTAAAGTTAAGTATTCTTCATTGATATCTTTAACTTTTAAAGACATGAATTTTATTTCTTAATGAGAAAGAAACTTAAAAAATATAGCTTGTTATATATTGTTTTTTTTTTCATTTTCGTAATGGGAATATGTTTTTTATTCCTTTTCTTATTGGATGTAACATTTTTTAATTATTTCTTCATGTTTTTCTGATTTTCGTTTTTTTTCCTTTTCGTAATAGAATTATGTTTTTTCTTTACTTCTCATAATGGATGTAATATTTTTTCTTTTTAATTGTTTGTTTCCTGTTTTCTGATTTTTCCTAATGTACTAATAGGATTTTATTCAAATAATTTTAATTTCGATCCAATTGACCTAGAGTCAAATAATCTCCACTGTTCTCTTGAACTTTCAAAGACATGATTTTGAAATTAGAGAAAGAGAATCAAAGAGATTTTCTGAATTTGCTTTGATGAGTTTGTGAATGAGAAAAAGAGACTACAATAGCTCTCTTTTTATAGGGGGTTCATGTAACCAATTTCATACAGTTTTAGGATATTTAGTTTACATACCTATTACATGTACTAATAGGATTTTTTTAAATAGGAGTTTATATAACCTATTCCATACAATTTTAGGATATTTAGTTTACATACCTATTCCATATACTAATAGGAATTTTTTATTACATTATTTTCATTTTATTATATAAAATTTCGTTTTTATTATAAGATATTAAAATTTTCCCTTTAAAATAAAAATTTCCTTTTTTGAAGACATGTGTCACGATCTTAACGGATATAACATTAAAAGTGACACATGTCGCAATCCTATATTTTATAAAAATCCTACGTGTCGCAACCACGTCGTGCATTAAGATTGTTTTATAGAGGTTCTACTATACGAATTTTGTTCTGTTATTCATTGGTTCAACGGCATGTGTGTGTACCGACTAAATTATTGGGCCGAACCGGGCCGTCTATTTATGACTAGTGGGCCACGTGTATTTATTGTTTTTTTTCTCTCTCTCTTATTAGTTTTGGCTCTCGTTTCCTTCTTCGTCTTCGCTGCTAATCGTTAGACATGGCGCTCGATGCTTATGCTTCGTCGAACCCTAA